GGCGCGGCCCAGGCCGCTGTTGGCCCCTGTGATCAGCACGGTCTTCCCGCGCATCAGGCCGGAGTCCACGCTGCCGTGAAGCCGCTGGACCCTGGAGCCCACGAACCGTCTGGCCGCCAACCACAGCCCCCCACCCAGCGCGGCCAGGAGTGCCGCCACCGTAGCCACGGCCATCGCCACTCAGGCCCCGGGGGCCTACTGTCCCCAGTGCCAGAGTGCAGGAAAGGCCGACTTCCCTAGGTTGAGGCTGCAACCTGTACGCGATGAACTCTGGGGCGCGGACAGTCGTCCCGCTGGGGCGACGTGGAGCATGCTGGGACTTGTAGTTTCTCTTCTAGATCATCCTTTCGGATTGGTTCAACTGGCGTGTACCCAACTGTAGGTGATCAACCTTGCGCCTAACACCTGCTTTGCTAGAGAAAGATGTGTCAGGCTGGTTCCATAAAATTCTTAGCCTAAGAAATGCAAATGGAGCAGTTTAGGCCCACGGGATGAGTCAGAATCAACGAGAAGATCTGGGATTTAGTTTGGGTTGTGGTTTTAAGTGCACAGACCTCTAACTCCTGGAGACCTCAACCTGATGATGGAAGATTGACCTGAGCGGAAGACCTGGGGTCCATCCTGATGGAAGTCCCGCAGATACAGCAATCCTTTGTGACTGACTAATTGGTACTTCAGATTTACGGATTTCTTCATAGGTCTGTTTTCAAATGCTACATCCGAGGGCTGGTGTAAGTGTTTTAAGAGTTCCTGACACTTGCAAATTGACAATTCAATCTACAGTCACCCTCTTGAGAATGATTTCTGCCCAAATGAAGTCTAAAAGGATGCCCCCTCTTATTCTGTTCGTGGATGAAGCTGTTACTCAAACTCACTGAGATCTCACACATCTGTCTTTTCGTGTCCTTTCTGTCCACCCACAGCAGGCCAGTCCTTCAATGCTCCACTCTGTTCAGTTCATTTCCTGCTCACCTCTGTTCCATACAAATCTGATCCCTCAACCTCATGCATGACTCTCATTTAGCTCTGAGTAGAAGAGCCCTTTATTGTTAACTATTTGACTTAGTACATGTGACTTCCTATACTGGTGTGTTAGACAGGGTTCTCTCTAGATATTATTAATTTATTATTAATTATTAATTTCCTTATGGCAGGGAGTATACCTAAATTCATCCTGTGGTCCTTACATAGGAGAATGCCTAGAAAACAGTTATTCGCTAAAGCAAAATAGGTACTCAGTGGGCATTCACAACTCATCAATTTTGGTTTGGTTTGCATCATACTAAGGGTATTGATCAAAAGATGTAACCCACCTGTGGTCTCTCAACCAGAAGCAGGGTTGGAATATGTATGTGTGGATGAGGTAGAGATGGCAGTGAGGTAGAGAAAGCATGCGAGGGTGTGGGAAAGAGGAAAGGAGGAATATCTAGCCAGTAATTGCAGACTGGCTTAAACACCAAACATAATAGAGTGACTTCTCTGTTCAAGGTAGTTTCTATGTATGTATATCTATATATATCTATAGATATATATAAACTTGATTTAGAAGAAGTATCACAAAGAGACAAAATAATAGCTTTTGAAGTAAACAGAATTTTGAATCTTCGCCTTACCTACCATTTTTATTAATTGTCCGTCCTTGAATAAGGTACGAGTGTTTTGGAATCTCAGGTTCCTCATGGATAAAGCAATGAATCGCGCTGTGTCACAAACGTTTGGCCTGATGATAAAATGGGGTTCAATGTGAAAATAACAAGTCCAGTTGTACCGAACATGTGATCTGATTGCCACCAAGTTCATTCTAACTTCTCTGTAGGTCAGAGAAAACTGCCCTTTATGAGAGCCGAAAACCTCATCTTTCTGCCGAGGAGAAATTGCTGGTGGTTTCCCATTGCTGGCTCTGTGGTTGGCAGCCCACTGTTCCACACGTGGCAGATTCTGTTCATGGCCAACCAATATTTGTCAAAAGAACAAATAGTAGAACAGAATGGCAACAATGTCATGCCACCTACTTAAGGGATGACCACTTGGCCCAGACTGGTAGACCTGGAGTCAGAGACTTCCAAGATGACAGCCTGTGGAGGGGTATGGAGAGTCTCCTCGGAGATCACCTTCGATGGGAAGCCCCCTCTTGGAACAAACGGTTGCTTTCGCTCTGAATTTAGTGTCAACAGCGAGCTATAGGTAGAGTGACATTCTCATTTGGCATGAGATAAAGATATTGATCATAGAGATTACAAAATTAAGAAGCTCCAAATTTTTAAAGAATCCTTTTCTCTTTGGAGATGACTACTTTAGAATGATGATGGGTAATCATTCTCTCCAGTCCATCAAAATCCCCCCAATGAATGCTCTCAGAAAAGGTCTGCAGGCCTCTGGAACCATCTCTTACGCATTCAAGCAACTTCTGAGCCTCGAGCATCGAAGTCATCACTGTGACTTAAGCTAAGAGAGGTGCAATGACGGCAGTCCTGACAGCCCCAAAAGAAGTTGCTGGAAGGCAAATGAGGATTCAAGCTATTTTTAAAAATCAAGAGAAAAATACTTCCAAAGGAGTTTGCTTCTGAAGTCCCAGTGTCTGAAATGCTCGTCGAATTATGGTGGCGATACAAAAGGACATGGCTTCTGAGTACTGGACTGTCAGTGCTTTATTTCACCTCCTCCTCCCTAGGGGTTGATTTTTTGACCCATGCCGTGAGGCACATGAGCTGACATGGTGCCAAATTTCTGTGCCCCTTCAATGTGGAACATGTGGTCATCAAAGAAGATGTGTGGTCGGATCTTCACCAAGATGGGACCTTTGGGAGCTCCAGCAAGGAAGAGAGCTTCGTCTATCTCTAGACCCCAGCGGCGAAGGGTTTTCAGCACACGAGCACCTGAACTAGCTGCACTCCTGGCCGTCACCAGATAGGTCCTGATAGGGCACAGTAGTCGCTCGTCTTTGGCATAAAACTTCTTTTGCAGTCTGCCTAATTCTTCCAGAAAGCCTTTCAAGGGACCCTGTGAAAGATACACATCTCATAGCTGTTATCCAGGGAGCGAAGGGAAGTACTTAAATATTATAAGAGGATCAGTAGCACTACAGAAGATAGGCAGGATGATAATGAAATTGACATAATGCTGAAATCACTAAATTTATGTTAATATATTTTTAGGTGCATCCTTGGATTCTGAAATAAGTTTTGTGCTTCTGTATAATTTACTGAGATATTTTAAGGGTAGTAGAAAGTTATTATAAACCAGAACTGGCAAGGTCTCCTGTGAAAACCGATGGAGCAGCTGGGTCTGTCTGCACCCATGGAAATGCACAGCATTGGAAACTCTCCACAGGGCTGCTGGTCATTGGCATTGACTGGATGGCAGAGGGTTGTGTGTGTTTTTGTCTGTCTGTTTTTCCATGGGAAATTGGGCTAGAGGATCACCTTAAATAAGTCCTAACTGCTCACCGAGTTCTTTTAATGTGCTTTTGGTAAAATGTATGTTTTAGCATAATAAAATATCATTATTAATCTAGTTCAGTTATATATATATGCAACTAATGTTTTAGCATAATAAAATATCATTATTAATCTAGTTCAATTATATATATATATATTGAATGCAACTTACAAGTGGTTGCTATAACTTGGCGCAGGCTTTTATTTTCACTCTTTCTGAATATCTAGTTTTTACGTTCATCTTCTGTATACAGTAGAGAATTGGATTTTGATAAGTGGTGCAATGCAAAAATCTTGTCTTCTAAAGACAATAATAGTTTATATTTGTACTTAATATGATGAGTCTGATTGATACTGGTTTCATGGTATAATTTGTTTGGCATTTTTTCATGTTCAATGCGCCTGAAGAATTACTCATTAGGTGTGTTTTTCTTTTGTGTGCTTGTGTGTTTGTGCGTGCATTCGTGTGTGTGTGTGTGTGTGTGTGTGTGTGTGTGTGTGGCTTTCATGACAGGAATGTTTTTATCATATCCCTTTAGTGATTAACATTATATCGGTAGCCTTTGTTTTTGTTGCTTTCCTCTAGGATCTATTATTCTTTAAAAGTAAAATAAATCAGCATATTTCTTCAACTTTTCCCTACCTTTTTTTTGTTCTCCAGGATTCAATTTTAGTCACTTCTTTAACTTCCTTAGGATTTACATTTGTTATTAAATAGTTTGATATTTATCAGCTTAGCATTTTTGTTTTGACCAGCAAATTGTAATGGAAGCGATCAGCCTTCTTGCTCTTAGTTAGCTCTTCTTCCCCTCATATTTGTCTCAGATTTCATTAGCTACATGATGTCTTAACTTTAGAGCATATAAAACTTCCCTTTCTGTCATTCTAGTGCCCACCAGTGTGTTTTCGTTTTAATTCTATGACTAAGTATATTCTACATCCATTTGTGCCCTGGTGCTTCTAATCAATACACGTTGGGCAAAATCTGTCGTCTACTACTTCACTCCTCACATACCCACATCATTAGGCTCCAAAGACCAGGTGGTGATGCAAACTTGGTGCTATTAGAGAGGAGTCACAGGCCATGCCTTGGTTTCCATGCTGGTGTCCTCCCTCCCCCACAGCTGACTGCTCCTCAGGCAATCAAGCTTACACAGGAGCCTAGTAGAATGACTAATCTCCAAAAATGCTTACCTGTGTTTAGTTGTTTTCACAAGAGCATTTGACTGTGTGCATCCTACCAAATTATGGATAACATGATTGAAGAATGAGACTTCCAGAGCACCTAGGCGTGCTCACATGAAACTGGTCTATAGACCAAGAGGCAATTGTTTAATCAGAGCAAGAGGGTTTGCTTGGCTTGAAATCAGAAAAGGTGTGTGTCAGCGTTATACCCTTTAATAATTCTTCTTCAGTCTGTATGCACAGAAAACAACCCAAGAATGTGTACTAGACGAAGGACAACTATCAATAAGGTGAGGAAGACTCATTTGACAACCTGGGCTATGCACATCAAACCACCTTGCTGGCTGCTAGTGAAAAGAAGCACTTACTAAGGAAGATCAAAGGCTGTAGCCTTCACTATAAATTGCATCTCAATGTAAAGAAAATAAAAATCCTCACAACTGGACCAATAACCAACATCATGATAGAGAAAAGATAGACGTTGTCAAGCACTTCATTTTACTTGGATCCATGATCAAAGCCCATGGATGCAGCAAGCAAGAAATCAAACTGCGTATCACTCTGGGCAAATTTGCTGCAAAAACCCTCCCATTAACACAATGAAAGTGTTAGGAACCAAGGATATCATTTGAGGCGTAAGGGGCTCCAGACCCAAGTCATGGTGCCCTGAATTGCCTCATCTGCATGCCAAAGCCAGGTAGTGAATGCAAACAGTCAAAGAACAATTGATGTATTCAAAGCCTGCCTGTTGTTGGTGTCTAATATTGACTGTACCAGGCACTCCATTTGTGTAGGCAAAAATGGCAATAATTAAGTTCAAAAAAGCTAACGAAAAAGAAAAAGAGCAATTTGGATTAAAATCCTTAAGAATAGCCACAATAAAAAAATGAGCTATGTAGTTCAGATTCAGTTGGGAGAATAGTTTGCCATTTTAACTTTCCTTTTACTTAGAAGTTGTAGGCTTTTCATTTCAGACTGTGATTTTTGTCACTTAAGTTCATGAATTGGTTCAGAAATACCTACATCATTTGTTTGTTTGAACTTACTTTAGGCACATTGTTCTACTCAATCCAAGCTCTTGGTTTTGCATATTTTCCCAATTAGGTGACACCTAAGAGCATTTACTGAATTTGAGGTCATGGACAGAGGAGTTCAACAAATGCTTGCGGAATTCCTTGAAATGACCTGAGCAGTTTGAGGAGCTATTATACAGAACTGATTTCCTGCTAATCTGTATTCACTCTGTTCATTGTGAGGTGGTGAACTCATGATTAGGGAATGAGTATACGTTATAGGATGAGAACACTTTCCGAAAGGATAAAGAATACTTCTAACATAAGCAGCAGCAGCAGATTCCTCAACATGAGAAATTAAAAACATGCACACAGTCCAAAAAAGGGTTTTTGTTTAAGGGTAAAACTTACTAAGGATAAGATATTAGGAAGGACTGGCCTGCCTATAATCTCTTGTTAAACTTATACAAGTAACAAATTAGATATTGGAAAAGAATAGCTCTAAATTCAATAAGGGTCACTACACTTACCTGAGCAAGAGGCTTATTCTCAAGTAATGTTTCATGCTGAAAGAATTTGTCCAGCCCATGTTCTCTGGCCATGTGGTCGAACTCATCAGAGAAGAGGACGGCGTCCCCGTCAAAGGCCACTCGGAGCTGGGTGTCACAGTAAGCCATGTCCTTGGCTCCATCAAACATTGTGGCAGAGGCAATTCCTGACACAGACCATGAGGGGTTATTAAAATCTTCTCAGGTCCAGGAGTCTTAGTTTTCTTAATAATCCTCCCAGACCCTGTGATTTCTTTTTCTGTTTGATCTGATGACCCCAAACCACAGTGTTATCTAAACAATATCTACATTTTTGTAAGGAATAACCAAAACTCCAAACTCGCTGCCATTGACTCCATCTGACTCATAACACCCTAGAGACAAGATAAACTGCCTCCATGGGTTTCTTAGCCTGTACTTCCCCTTGGCAGTGTAAAGCCTTGTCTTTATCTCATCTTTCTATAAGGAATAGAACCATGTAAAATGCGTTTTTATAACTATAAAGAGGATGTCTATTTCTAGGAAGTTCAAAACTCTAAAGGACACATTGAAGGCCTGCTACCTGGGAAAATACCTTAGAAAGCCTACCTGGAAGTGGGTCACCAAGGTATAGGTGAAGTCCTACTTAAGTAACCACTAAAACAAAACTGGAGTAGCTAGGTGAACCATAGGTATACAGCTATAGGGATAAATACCTTCTTGTATTGCTTCTTGTACTTTCTCAGAATCCGCAGAGAGATATAGGTTAGTGAGATATGCCTTCAAATACCCAATGGGGCTTTTTCCACCAGTCAGACAGAAGCGATCAATTAATAAGCCTGTTGTCAGGTAAGAAAGACTTTGTTATGGCAGAAACTAAAGGGGACGTACTATAAATCGATGGTGCCGATGAGAGTTACCTTAGGGATAGCTAAGTACCAATTAGGGTTTCAGAATTACCTTCACAGAGCCAACATTGACCAAAAAAAAAAAAAAAAAAGCTTCCAATTTACATAAGAGCTGATATGTAATGTACATTTTAATTTGAATATAGCCACAAAGACAATGCCAAAGTACTCTCAAAATAACTGTGGCAGGTATTATTATCCCCATTACTGTTAAGGAAACTGACAATTTGTCTCCATCTACTGGTTTACGTGTGCTGATGGGTAGAGTGGAAACCAAGGTCTAGACTCCTGTCTAGATTAGATCAGTGATATGATCTAATTTGCTGATCTAATTCCACTATGCCTCTTCTCTAGTTTATTGGGCCAATGAAGGTGTGGTTCTATTTTAAGTATCATGTTTTTTGGCATCTCTTCAGTATCATTCTCACTTAGTGTTACTATTTAAATAAATAAATTTCTAAAATTAGTGCTACTATTTAAATAAATGTTTTTCTAAAACAACAACAAATGTCTTAAATTACCACCCATTCCTGACTTGAAATTTTAACTGCAATGATTATCAGACTATACAATAATACACCGATACAGAGGTTCCAAAGAAAACCACTAAAGGGTTGGTGATGAGAGGTTTGTAAAACAGGTGCCCACCTACCTACACTATCAATGAAAGTATAACAGCAAAACATGATCCAACAATATGAGAATGATTAATTAAGGATAGTATGATAACACAATACATATGATAAAATATTACGTAATTATTCAAAGTGGTCTTTTTAGATATATGATAAATTAAACAGAGGCAAATTATATAAAGCTCAACAGAATCTAGTGCATGGTATCATCTGTATGTACTGAGAGTGTAGAGTCCACCAACAGTCAGAGTCTAATTGCTTTCTTTTTAACAAAAGTCTCTCTTTTTTCTTTTTTACTTAGGCCCAAAGTAATAATCGATAATTTAATGATCCAGCAAGTACAGTGAACCCTCGTTTATCGCGGTTAATCGGTTCTAGACCCTACCGTGATAAATGAAATTCCGCGAAGTAGGATTCCTTATTTGTTAATCAAATATTTTCGTAGTTAGAGCATAGAGGACATGAAAAAACACCCTTTAGTCACCATTACACTCGTATTACCCAATTTATTAAACGAAAAAGGGAAAATAAATAAAACATTTTGGACGTTACAATTATCATTTATTATTATATTATTTATGGCATCAAGCGTGTACAGTATGAGCCAATCAGTGGCAGTAATGACAGAGCATGCGCTGTTACGCAAAAACCGCGATAGAGTGAAGCCGCGGAAGTCGAAGCGCGAAGTGGTGAGGGTTCACTGTATATGGTGACATGGGACTTCAAAAATAATCAAAACACCGTCCCTCTCCTCTCAGAGATCAGTATGCTACAGAGGCAGGCATGTACCTAGACAACTATAATATCACAAAGCAAGAACACAGCAGAGACAGATACCTATTACCTTCAGTGCCCAGAGAGGAGTCAACCTTGTGCAGGACGATCAATTGCTATTCCATAAATAAATGTGTATGAGTACACTGGGTTTAATCATTTCATCAGCAGAATTTAGAATGCTACCACCTGTGTATGCTTAGTGTGCTGAGGGTCAAATCTGTCACACTGATTCTGATGCATGGTGACGCCATTTTTACAGAGTAGAACTGAGCTTCGTAGGGTTTTCTTTGCTATAATGTTTATGGCAGTAGATCTCCAGGTCTTTCTTCCGTGCTCTCTCTGGGGGAGTTCTGTACTGCCAACCTTTCTATTAGTAGTTAAGTGCAAACTGTTTGTACCACTTGTGGTGAAGGATAGACATATCTAAGTCACCTTAGACAAGAATCACTCTCATACTAAGTAAGTGCTTTATAGACATCTCTTTTGACTTCACAATACCATGAAGATTGTATTGCTTAAATACAACACTTTTTTGAAAACATGTATTAGTAAGACACTAACTTTATGACACTTGCTGTTGTTCTTAACTGTCATTAAATTAGTCTAAGCCTTTCATCTTAGATTCTCTCGGTGGTTCTCCTAATGCCGCAATCCTTTAATACAGTTCCTCATGTTGCGGTGACCCACAACCATAAAATTATTTTTGTTGCTACTTCATAACTATAATTTTGCTGTTGTTATGAATGGGGCGACCCCAGTGAAAGGGTCGTTTGACCCCCAAAGGGGTCGCGACCCACAGGTTGAGAAACACTGGTAGAAGCTCTGCTGAAACCTGTTGGGCATCATAGCCACACACAAGTCACCATTCATCAATGAGTATTTCTTAAATGTGTGATCTAACCTGGGTCCCCTGGATTAATTCCAGCCACTAGATCACCAGTTCCCTCAGCTTGATAATTTTGGTAAAAAAATCATATAATCAAAAATTTTGAACAATATCATTAGTATCCCATATAAGTTCATGTTTTAAATTATTGTAATAGTTTTATTGACATAGTTATACAATCCAATATATCCATTCACATACAACTCTGTTATTCAGTCCCATCCAGTGGAGTTATACAAGTTCACTTTTGCCAAAGATAATTTAAAAAGTTTCAGTAGTAGATTGACAGGAAACCCAGACAGATTCAAAACAGGATATGAAATGAGAGATATCACTGTTGATGTCAGATGGCATTTGACTGAAAATAGAACACCAGAAAGCTGCTTACTTGTGCTTTATTGACTAGGCAAAGATATTCAATTTATGGATCATAACCAATTATAGATAACATTTTGAAGAATACAAATTATGTATGAAACCTGTTCATAGATCAAAAGGTAGTCTTTCAAATGGGACAAAGGGTATGATGTGGTTTCAAATCAGGAGAAATGCGGCTAAATATGTAGCCTTTCATCATACGTATTCACTCTGCATGCCGAACAAATAAGAGAGAAAATAGATGATATGAAGCAGAACACGGTCTCAGAATTGGCATCTCATTAACAATCACGATATGCAGATGAAGCAGCTTGCTTGCTGAAAGTGTACAGAACTTGAAGTCCTTACTGAAGATCAAAGACTACAGCCTGCAGTATGGATTACACCTCAATGCAAAGAAAACCAAAAAATCCTCAGACTTGGACCAATAAGTGATATCATGATCAGTGGAGAAAATATTGAAGTCGTCAAGTGTTTCCTTTAACTTGGATCCACAGTCAACACTCATAGAAGCAGCAGTGAAGAGATGAAGCCAATCTACTGCAAAAGATCTCTAAAATGTTAACAAGCAGAGGTCACCTTGAAAACTCAGGTGCCCTTAACCTTGCCGTGATGCTTTTAATTGCTTCATATAGTCATATATACATCTATTCATTTCTACACAGAAGCTGGACAATGGAGGAGGAGGACCAAAGAAGAAGAATTATCTTTGAATTAAAGGTGTTGATGAAGAATATTGAAGGCTACATGGACTGCCAGAAGATTCAACAGGTGGGGTTTAGAAGATGGACAGTCCAAATACTCCTTAGAAGTGAGAATAGAGACTTCATCTCATGGGATGTTGACATAGCATTTATACGTGTGTATACGCTGAGTTTCTCAGTTCATTTCTTATGCAGTTTTGTGGTAAAATTAGGTGCCTTGGCTGATATTCGGGTCAGCTTATATTGGAGTAGAGATGGTATGACTAGCATGACAAGTTCCTCGAGCAGGACCTCATGACTGTTAGACACTGCAGAAGAAGACCTGAGGAATGGAGTGACAGAGTGACCAGCAGAGGTGATGAGGAGGTTGCAAAACTAGTCAGTGTTTTGGCCTATTTTACGTAAGATCTCTGAGTCAGAACTGACTGGAGAGCCCCTAACAGCAATATAGATCTCTTTGTTTAGAATAGGTACTAATTATTTATATCCCCAGAGCAACAAAATGAGGATACGTCGACTTGTCTCCAGAAGGCGGGGTGTGCAGTTTACAAAATAAGATAAAAATTTCCCAAATAAGCTGTTAAGTTATTGCATAAGTGGGAAAAGGGGGTCCTCTTTTGCTTAGTACCCCCAGTACAACTGGTAAAATCCAATCAAGACATTTTAGTTAATAAAATTAACGATGTAAAGGAATATACACACACGGCATAGATATGGCTTCTTATAAGCATCGACTCATGTAATGAGAGAGAGCAGCAGAAGAAAATCAAATTGTCAGAGGGGAAAGGAGAGGTGAAAAACCTTCAAACCTTTAACATTTATCTGTGTTGAGGCTTTGGGTTGACGGCTCCTTGAAGTCAAGTTCAGAAGTGAAAAACATAAAACAGAGAAATGGATTGCAGGACCTAGGATTAAGACTTTGAAATTCACACTTGACAAGTTAAATCCAGAGCTTTGGGCCCAGCTCTGTGCTGGAGTTAAAATGAACATGGCCTCTCTTGTTCTGACATAGGCAAATAAACATTCCTCACGCAGAAGGGGGTGTCAGTATCAAAGACTCTGCATTCGTTAGGCCCCAGTTAGCAAAATAACGCGGCTTCTCTCCTCCAGAGCAGCAGGCAAGTCTTCCACATGGTATTTATTTTACTTACCATAGTGATTGACGCTGTTTATAAGCCGCACTCCCACTTGGGCATGGTTATTAGTCATCAGCACAATATCAAATAAGTCCTGTTCATCAGGGTACAGCTCGCGGAGCCTGGCATTGACATGCTGCAGTGCCTGCAGGTTACAAACACGATTGCTTGTAAATAGAGGCAGCCAAGGTGGGTAGAGGGAAACTGAAGGCAAACGATCCCAGAAGTATCAAATTCAAGGTCTGAAGCCTTCACTGAAAGATTATGGCTCTTTGAAGGAGTCGTGCTATTTGCTTCTTGATTTTCAGCTTCTCAGACAAAAACCACAGCAATGTCTACTGAACAATGCTTGTGGAAAACTGGTCATTTTGTTGGTTAAAATTTACCTCAGGGGGTTTAGTACATCAAAGGAGCAGGCAAACCTTTCTACAGTTTGTCAAATTTTCAAGTATGGATAAGTTTGTGGTTTCCTCCCATGCTCCCAGGATGCCCTCTACGTCAGTCATGTACACCTGCCATTTGTAGAGGTACCATTTTTTATTTTGGATAATCGGGCAAAAGTTATTGTGTAAAATCAATATAGATTATGTGTGGGACTGGAATTATACATGCGATACAGTTCTGTCTGGCTTTGTGTGCAAAACCTTACTCTGCGTATAAAACCCATACCTCCTGGCTACCAGCATATGCTCTGCTTGGGGATCAGTAGAGCTGAAAATGAATTTCATCTTATTTTAAGGAAGGGGCGTATTCCTGTTCATTAATATCAACTTCATGACTACTTCTTATTACACAGAGAGAGACAGAGAGACAGAGACAGACTTCTATTGTAGGCCCATAGTTCTGACAGCACTCATGGAAGTCCAGAACCCCAAATCCAGGGCTGGGGGTGGGTCTAGGGTCCAGGAACCTCTATCAGGGCACCTGGAGTCAACTGGAAGGGGGCAAAAGGACTAGGATGGGCTAGGAATTTCTAGGAAACTGGTACAGGCTGCCAGTGGCATGCCTGGAGTCTTTCCTGCTGAGGGGTCAAGCACTTCCTTAAGGTTACCTTCACAAAACGGAATGCAGGCCCTGGGGTCAAGACAACGTTCTCATTGTTGAGCTGATACTCCATGTATTTTTCCAGGCCCTCTTCCTCATAGATTCTCCTGCCGTCCATCATGTTGAAGAGTGCCCGGGATGAGACAGCAATGGTGATGGCATGCTTGGGTTTGGGCTGCAAAGAAAGGTACCCAGGTGTGGCTGGCCCAGCAGGCAGGCAGGGATTCTGCAAACACAAGCTGCTCAAGCCTGCTTGGAGAACTGGCATTCTGGAGACAGTAGGGAGTGCGAGGAGGCAGGATTCAGGGGGAGAAATGGGGGTGACTTCGGGGGCTGGCAGCGCGCTGCCCTGCACAGTGGGGCTGCCAGGCTGTAAGGAGGGTCCCACTCACCGGCCGGGGACGTGCCGGGCTCGGAGTCTTCTCATAGAGCATCTTCACGGATGCCCAGTAGGCCTCCTCATCTTCCTGGTCCTGGTCATGCTGCTGCAGCTCCGAAAAGCAGTCGTAGTCCTGGGACTTCGCGTAGGGTCCTTTGCGCTGAGAATGGGACCTCCATTCGGTGGGTGGTGTGCGTGGGTGTGAGTGTGCGCTATCCCAGGAAGGGTGTGATTCCCGGGATTCGCGGGGGTCCCGGGGTTCGCGAATGTCCCGGGCTTCGCGGATGTCCCGGGCTTCGCGGGGGTCCCGGGCTTCGCGGGGGTCCCGGGGTTCGCGGGGGTCCCGGACTACGCCACGAGCCCAGGCCTCTGGACTCTCTTGTGCTCCCTTGGTGTTGCGTTTGGAGACTGGCTCTGGTTCCGGGGGTGTGGGGGGCCGCGATTCCAGAAGTTTGGGCTGTTTGGGCTGGGTGGAAGGTGAAGGCTGCTCAGACACCGGTTGGGACAGCTCATGCTGGCTAGGGGAGGTGGATGGAGTCCTGGAGGTAGTGGAGCTGTTAGGGAGCTGAAGCCAGAAAAGAAGAAGCTAGATTCGAGGTGCACCCAGGGAGCCCTTGCCCCAGCTGGCGTCCAGGACTCCAGCCCTAGACCTGACACCTTCTGTCTACCAGTCCCTGTTCTAGACTAGATCATTATCAACCCCTTTACCCAAAACCCCACCACAGAGGAGTTCTAGTGAGCCTATAGAACAGAGAAGTGCTGTTCCATAGGGTTTCCCTTGTTATAATCAGTAAGAGAACAAGACTGCCCCCCCTGTCTTTCTCAGGCGGAACTGCTGGTCATCTTTCTATTAGTAGCCCAGCACTTAATCTACTACACCATCCAGGCTCCTTCAAGGTTCCTTCAGCCACTTTTAAAGTGCTGTTTAAAATGAGATTTTAGTGGTCCAAGCACATAGATACGGACATGGGGGCAATTTAAAAAAAACTTAATTAATAATTTGTTTCCCCCTCCTCAGCAGTAAGTATTTCACAAGAAGGGTCAAAGGTCCCTTTCTTTGTTCTTCCCCCAAACCTCACAACCATCAAGTCAATACTGACTCAGAGCGACCCCATAGGACACGGTAGAAATGCCCTTGTGACTTTCTGAGACTGTAACTGTTTAAAGAATAAAAGAGCCGGGTCTTTCTCTGGCATAGTGACAGATTTGAAACTGCCAACCTTGCAGATCGCAGCCCCATGTATAACCACGATGCCACCAGGATGGAAAAACTGTTCTAGAGTTTGCAAAGTTCTGTTCCCTGTCTCCCCTGTGCATGCTTCCATGTAAGGCAGGGAGCGCTATAGTAATGGGCCCCTTTCTGCTCCTACAAACATGTGTGACCTGGGTTAACTGGTTGAGGGAACCGCAGTAGGTGTCTCCACCAGAAGATTCCATACAGAACTCATGTGTATCTCTCTTGATGTTTGTCATGGAATAATGCGATGCTTTTCTGAAAGGCTGAGAATCTGGAGAGGGCTGGGCTGCCCATTGCCTTGAGCGATTCATGTGGAAGATCAACCGGAGATAATGACCTTCCTAAAGAGGAAAGGTTCCTTCAGGAGAAAAGGCTCCTTTACTGTGAGCATCCTTATCTTATTTTCATTTCTATGATGGCTACACGTGACTTTTAAGTTATGCTTTCAACTACATTATAAAGGCTTCCCTGACAGAGAGGGAAAGAGGGGACAGATTAGGCAGGGCTATGAGTTCTCCCAGTGGTTGGGTCTGGGTCGCTCATTCTACATCCCTCCCACTCCTCAGCAACTTAATCTCAAAACTAACTTTTTGGTTTTTATGACCAGCTATTGTTAAGAGCTTACAGTGTCTCACAATGTAAGACATTTCAATATAGATCTCCCACAGTGCCTTGTGTATCCCTTCTCACTGAGAGCCTAGCAAATGTGTTTGTTGGGTCTATGAAACGATGACTAAGAGACCATAGAGTATGGTTACCTGTGTAGCCTCTGCATTTATGGAGACCCTGAGTTTTCAATCTTAGCTCTCCTACTTACGAATGGGAAATCTTAGGCAAGCTAGTCTGTGCTTCCATTGTCTTAGCTTTAAAATTGGGGGGAAGGGGTGCAGAGCTTCCCTAGGGCTAAATTCCTACAGCGTGAATGTAGAACAAGGCCTGGCACATACAAAATGTCAATAGATGTTAATCCTTATTTTATCATCTACGCTTTCCTTTCCATCTCCATTTCTACCTTAACACTGCCATTCCTGCTTCTGGGCTCGTCGATGGACGGGGGCCTGGTGGATGGGCTCCGTGATGTTCGGGACCATTCATTTTTCACGACATACCCTCGGGAGTCTGTCTTCGATAATTCTTGTGATCCCTGTCAAGGAGAGAATAGACCCAGAGGTATTCCACTCCTTCCATCAATTTGCCTGCAGAATAACCACATCCGGCTTCAAATGGCAGGGTCCAGTAAGAAGATTCTTGCCTTCTATGACCCTTTATTTAACCTTGACCTAGTCTTAACATACAGGTGGTGAACAGTATGAGGATCCGCTGGGAAGCATATCCAAATATCAAGAAGCAAATCTAGTACTCATGTATCTTTCCCCTCGTTGATTCCTTTTATTGAAAATCTAGCAGTGTTGGCCGTTTCCCCACCCTTTTTCTCCATCCCTCCCCTTAAGGATAAGTCTGCTCACAGCTGTTAAAGTGACATATCCAACATTTTGACCAGATTAAAAATATGAATGTCATTGGTATATAAATAGGAGTCCGTGGGTGGCACAAATGGTTAAGTGCTCCATCAGTTAATTGAAAAGATGGCAGTTTGAACCCACCCACAGGTATTTCAGAGGAAGCTCCTGGTGACCTGCTTCTGGAAGGCTGCAGCCTTGAAATCCCCGGGGAGCAGTTCCGCTCCGCACGCGTGGGGTCACTCAGAGTTGGAATTGACTTGATGGTAACTGGTTTCGTTTTTTTTTTGGCTTCGGTACATCCATATGGCTTTAGAGCCCACTAGCCTTCCCCTCAGGAGATGCACGGATGGAGGAGACCTTGAAGAAGCAAGTGGTGTGCCCCGTATCCTTCTCCCTCACCCAGATGGCCTGCAGGTACCCTCCAGAATCAGCCGTGCGATCTGTGCTCACCCTGATCATGGTCATCTGCTGGCCCTGCGCCCACAACAGGCACATGTGAATGTAAATACGTAATGGGCGGCAGGGGCCAAGGAGCATTGTTCCCGCTCCCTCAGCTGCACAAAGGCAGCGTCTACACGATGAGTGACCTCGCATGGAGTATGACCTCGCATGACATCTCAGTGCGTGATTCGCATGGGCTGCTCGCCTCATCTGAAAGATTGTGCAGAAAACGGTCAATGTGCAGAAAATGGCCGAACTCCCCTTCCCTCCCTTTAGCTGAGCAGAGGCAAAAGAAAATGGAAAACCAAAACCAAAAACCTGCTGAGTCAATTCCGATTCTTGGTACCTACAGGACAGAGTAGAACTGTCCTATCTGGCCACTCAGGCTGGCATCTGTATGCAAGCAGACTGCCACATCTTTCTACAGGGAGTGGTTGTGGATTCAAACTGCCAACCTTAGGGTAGCAGCTAAGCACTTAACCACTGCATTCCCAGCACATCTCTGAGCAGACGGAACACCTATATTTCTGTGCCACACCTTCTACGTAAGCATTGGGAATGTGGACCAGCTTCTCCCAGTTCGCCTTTACGACTCCATGGTACTTAATGCCATCGAGCCAATTCTGACTCCTACTGACCCTATAGGGCAGAGTAGAACTGCCCTGTGGGTTTCCTGGACTATAAATCTTCACGGGAGTAGAAATCCACATCTTTCGCCCACGGATCAGATGGTAACCTTGAACTGTTAGCCTTGTGGGTTAGTAGCCCAACGTGTATCACAATAGACCACCAGGGCTTCTCTGGAGGACATGAAGTAGCCCTCCAATCCAATGTTCACATTTCCGTTTCCTCCCCTGGAGAGAAATATAAATTTACCAACAGAGATCATCTTACCTGGGTAGACATACGAACTCCTGGCTTTTCAGACTCCCTTCTTTTCTCTGATTCTAGACTTTCTTTTGAGTACCTCATCCCGGCCTCATTCTTAATATGGAAATAGAGAATTTGTAAACAGTTTTTAAATATTAGAGATATTGGGATCTCGGGGTTCGAAAAGAAAAACAGGTTAAAATGTGTTTTTCAAAATCTGAATACCACTCTCGCTATATACATGTATAAAATCTGGGTTTGTGTGTTTGTGTAGATAGGCTTTAATCAGTTTGTAGACAATTTGTCATACTTACACTTTGCAATGGTTGAAGTGCACAACTGCTGATAGCAATGGTGGTGGTTCTAACCCAGCAGCTGTTCCCAGGAAGAAAAGGCCAGCAACCTGCTCCCTCAAGATCTCCCCATAGGCTACGATGGGGGCAATCTATTCTGTCCAGGAGGCTTGCCATGGGGTAGAATGAACTTGAGGGCTCCTAACAAGAGCCTATATGAGGGAGTTACTGAAAGTTCATGGAAAATGGAATTAAAGCTATAGGACTTTTTCTATGAACTTTTGAAATATGTACTCACTGCTGTTGAGCCCATGCTGACTCACAGTGATCCTTTAGGACAGGGTAGAACAGCTTCTGTGGGTTTCTCAGGCTGTAAATCTTTACTGGAGCAGAAAGCCTCACCTTTCTCTCAGGGAGCAGCTGGTGGGTTTGAACTGCTGACACTGATTAGTAGCCTGATGTGTAGCCCACAACACCACCAGGGCTCCTTTCTGATAGATAAATAAAGATTGATATAGTGATATATAGTGAATATATATTTTGATATTTCTCTCTATATATATAGATATATACCTATATATCTATATATATAGAGAGAGAGAGAGAAAGAGAGAATGGTTTTATTATTATCTCTGCTTTGAGTCAAGATCCCTCTAACATCAGCAATGATATTCCTTGTTCCACATCCTCTTCTGAATCAAGCCTGCACCTCTGCCAGTTCCCTGTACTATTGTACTACTGTACAATGTACTATTGCAACTGTTGTTGGGTAATCTTCAGCAAATTTTTGGTTGCATGAAATATCAGTGATGTTATAGTTTGGGCATTCTGTGGGGTCAGCTTTCTTTTGAATGGGCACAAATATGTATTTCTTCCAGTTGGTTGACCAAGTAACTGTCTTCCAAATTTCCAGGGATAGAAGAGTGACTGCTTCCAGCACTTCATCAGCTTGTTTAAACATTTCAATTGATAATCCATCAATTCCTGGAGCTTCCTTTCTGGCTAATGCTTTCAATGAAGCTTGAACTTCTCCCTTCAGCACCATTGGTTCTTGCTCATAAACTACCTCCTGAAATTGTGAAATGTTGACTAGTTTTTAGTGTTGTGTTTTGTACAGTGACTCTGTATATTCTTTCCATCTTCTCTTGATGCTTCCTGCATCATTCAAGTTTCCTTGAATTCTTTTCGTTTCACATGTGCTGAGCCTATTCTTCCCTTTGAGTTTTCTAATTCTAATTTGCACATTTTATTATAATACTTGACTTTGTCGTTTTTAGACACCCTTTAATATTTTCTATTCAGCTCTTTACTTCATTCTTTCTTCCATTTGCTTTAGCTACTCTACAAATAAGAGCAATTTTCGGCATCTCTTTTGACACCCACTTTGATCCTTTCTTTCCTGTTCTTGGAATGACCTTTTGCTTTCTTCGTGAGTGATGATGTATTGCCCTCCCACAGCTCATCAGGTTTTTGTCATTTGTGGCCAATGCATCAAATCTGTTCTTGAGAAGTTCTCAAAATTCAGGTAGGATAGACTCAAGGTTGTATTTTGGCTCTCACAGACTTGGTTTAGTGTTCTTCAGCTTTATCCTGAGTTTGCATATGAGTGATGAGTAGTCTGTTCCACAGTCAGACCCTTGCCTGATTTTAGCTACTGATGTGGAGCATCTCCACCGTCTTTTCCCACAAATAGACTCAATATAATGTCTATGTTCTCTACCTGGGGAAGTCCATGTGTATAGTCACGTTTGAGTTGTTGAAAACAGTTGTTGAACAATGCTTTGGTCTTGCAAGAGTCTAGCATGTGATTTCCTGCTTCATTTCTATCAACAAGCCCGTATTTTCCAACTAGTGTCCCTTTTTCTTTGTTTCCATCTTTTGTGTTCTTACCACCAATAATTATCAATGCATCTTGATGGCATGTTTGATCAATTTCAGACTGAAGCCACTGACAGAATTCTTCAATTATTCCGAACTAGCTTTTTTGTTTGTTTGTGTACAAATTTGAATAAGTTGTATTGATTATATTTCCTTGAAACTGATAGATATAACTTATCAAAGACAGCATTGTACTTAGCGATCAATTTTGCAATGTCCTTTTTTGACAGTGAATGCTGCCCCGTTCCCCTAGTTTTATGCCCTACATAGTAAATCATATATATTTGATGCTTCAGAATGGCCAAATGCCAGTCCATTTCAGCTCACTAATGCCTAGAATATCTATCTTTAGGAGTTCCATTTCAATTTTTACCACTTCCAATTTTCCTAGATCCATACGTTGCACATTCATCAACAGATTTTTGCAGCGGTTTCTCTCTTCCTTGGGTCACGCCCCATTAGCAAATAAAGATCCTAAAGGCTCCACTCCCACAAGTTTAGCCAGACTCCTGTCACCATGGCTGAGAAATCAGATCCTTCGCAGTCACATTTCGAGTGTCTTCTGACACGAGGGGCCCATCCTCGAGCACTATCTCTGACAAAGTTCTGCTGCCACTCATTAGGCCACCAGTGGCTGGCAATGTTTCAAATCTATTCTGGAGGTTGTCAGTGGCTTCTTCCTCTGAAATAGGAAGCCACTTCCTTCTTCCTTGTCTTCGTCTGGAAGTGACACTGAACCTGGTTCACTTTGGGCGACCCTGATAGAATTTGAAACACCAGTGACATAGAGCCCAACATCACAAGCCTCATACAGTGCGACAAACTGACAAAGTGGAGGCTTCAAGAAATAAAGAAGAAGAATCTGATAGACATGGGCCTTCACGGGAAGCCTTCTCTTAGCCCCACGCTATAAATTCTGACTCCTAGCCACCTCAAACTAAAACCAAACTCACGGTCATCAAGTCATTTGTGACTCCGACTGACCCCGCAACTCTAAGTAAGGCTGCCCCGCTGGTTTTCTGAGGCATTAAATAGTTTTTCAGGCTGTACATTTTTATGGCAGCAAAAAGCCCCATCTTTCATCAGTGGGGAAACTGGTGGGTTCAATTCACTGGTTAGCAGTTTTGTGTGTAACCCTCTACCTTACCTGGGTTCCTAAGTCTATCTGCCTAGACTATGTGAACATTAATTTATTAAAGACATGCAATTATTTCTGTCATCAAAGTATTAGATAATGAAGACATGATCTAATTGCTCACAGCAGCCAGTATAAAAAGGGTGCTTCATGTCTCCAGAAAGACAGTGTAGAAGAGTACTGGGAAATTGCAATGGACCTATGGAAGCGTTCACCAATATTGATGCATTTGAATCGCGGTGCCGGAGAAGAATATGGCAAGTACAATGGATTGATAAAAGGATCCCTCTTGGAAGCAGTATGGCCAGAGTGCTCCTTAGAGGCAAGAATGATAAGACATCATCTTATATACCTTGGGCCATGTTGTCAGCAAAGACAAGTCCCTGGAAAAGGACATCAGGCTTGGTGAAGTGGAGGGGAAGTGAACAGTAGGAAGGCCCTCCATGTGATTGATTGACATGGTGGCTGCAACCAGGAGCTCAGTCTTGGGAATGTTTGTGAGAATGGTGCAGGACCGTGAGATGTTTCCTCTTGTTGTGTATCGGCTCCTATAGGTTAGAATCAACTCCCTGGTATGTAATAACAACATATAAATATGTATGTCTTCACCCTCATTTGGATCAGTGCTTCTTCTCTTTCATGTTAATTCAGTAGTTGCAACCTGGCATTATTAATCCACGTATAGAGATCAACATCTACATTAGATCAAGATACCATGGGAAAGTTGATTCCTCTCTTTATATTCAATTGACTGCCCAAATTGGCATGGCTGCGTGGTCCTTAGATGAATCCTATAAATTCTTCCACCATATTCTCTCACACATGTCCTATAAACCCATTTCAAATTCATTGCTGTCAGGTCAGTCCTGTACTTAGTGACCTCGTAGCACATTCCTAGGAGGTAAATGATCTATTGGGGGAGGGGGAGCAGAATGTGGGAGGGTGTAACTGATTTTCTAAGGTTCTATGTTTTTACAGGAGTAAACTGCCTTTTCTTTCATACACAAAGCAGCTGGTGAATTAAGACCACCAGGCTTTTGGTTCGCCCCTCAATGATCAACCCACTGTGCCACCAGGGTGTCCCACATCCATTCTAGTCACTGTCAAATCTTAACAGTAAATGATCTAAATTCAATCTCATTTTTCCATTCCTATGAGCATTACTGTGCATCAGGCCTTAGATCATCAGCAATCTATATTCTAAGACATTCAATAACCTTTTGAACAGACTTCAAACTCTCTAACCCATAGCGTGATGGTTGAAATATGTAACCTAATCATGTTTTTTTCTGGGATAAGCACTTTCAGGGTTTTTGTTTTGTTTTGTTTTAAGCAGGCAAGGCACTGCATGGTGTCCTTCTTTAACTTGTATTCACTGCAGCTCGCACCTTATCTTCCTGCTGTACTTATAACCAATGACTTATTTCCCTAAATATCACCCTGGAGGAGGCCTGCTGGGGGGAGGGGTTACACACTGGCCACCAGTTGAAAACCTCCGGCTACCCCAGGGAAGAAAGATGAGGTTTTCTACGACCAAACAGATTTACAGCCTCAGAAACCCCTAGGGGCGGTTCTACTCTGGCCTGTGGAGTCACTCTGAGTCAGAATTAACTGGATGGCCAGGAGCTGAGCTGCTCTTGAAATGCCACCCTTATTTCCTGGTAGCCTTCTCATCTCCTGAATATTCCTCACAACACAAAGTTATAAACCCTCCTCGGCTCCCTGGGTCTTTTCTTTACAGTTTTATGAACACTGAATTGTACTGCACTTATGTGTTCATTCTTTTTCAGATAATACTGTATGTTCTTCAAAGACAGCCATTATATTTTCACCATTTACCAAGACCATGTGTGCATACACTCAGTAAAGGCTGACTTAATGGATAGAATTATACTTGATGTTTTAATCCTTTCTCTTCATTCCTTTTCTTCTCCTTCTTCCTTTTATCTCGATGGGTTACTATGATATAAAATACTTTTGTGGGAGCAGAGAAGGCCCAGAGGTGAACAGTGGACCAAAACGCAACATTTCTTCATCTCTTTGGCAAGGTTCTAAGACATTCAAATTCACTTACCTTCTTTTTCTGTTTCAGGGATGTTTGACTCATTTCTAGCACTATTGAAAACCTGTAGGTGTTATGCAGGTTTTAGTCTTGCCAGCTCCATTTCCTATTGCTTCTCCTGCTCAGTCTAGCTCTGCATTTAGAATGTCAAATTCATGACATCATGGATGAGCCCATAGTAACTGATTCTGAATACACAATCATGCTTTTTTTTTAAAGCAATAGTATTTCTTCATTTTTGAGGCCATCCTACATGTAACCATTGCCTGTGTTTTTACAAAATGATGTCTAAATCAGGTTCAATTGTGTAAGATGTACCCATATCAATGCTACTACTTCCTTCTGTTGTTGCAACAAAGCATTACTATAGTGTCCTTGTAAGCACTCCATTTGGGGCTGTACATTTTCTGGTGTTGACAAAATGAACAGCAAACTCATTTGTGAGTCCTGTCACTTAACCTGTTCTTCCCGATGGGCTTTGAATGGATTTCCCCGAGTTAGGGACATTTTGACAGCTCAGACTTTTCTCTCATCTTGGAGTGGAGCTTGACAGCAGACGTGATGTACAACACGAAGGTTTTCCAAGCAGCGGCACTTGCCTCCTTCACTGTAGGAAGGCCCAATGAGAAAGCCACAGTCAACACTCAATGCATCAGAATGACCTGAGTTGATCAGTCTTGATGTTAGTCCAGTCGTTTTGCCTTCCTGTGACACACAGAGTAAACTAGCCACATGTTGAGTCCCACTGAGACTTGGGTTTCACGGTTCTCATTGCCTTCACATGTGCTTCAGTCTACAGGCGTGTGTTGTCAAATGACAGACTGAGCCAGGTTCCTGGTCTCTCTC